AGCAAATTATCAAACCCAGGAGAGACGTGGTGGGTGCTTTGGGAGGAACGGTTGGTGCAAGGGCTGGAGGGAGGCAGCATGTCTGGCCTGGCAGGAATAGGCCTTGGGTTACTGCTGGTAATCCTGTCTTCCTCTTGTAGGGTTAGAGGAGGTCGGAACATGTGGCCTCCTTGCCATTTTTGCAGTATGTCTACACAACGGAGTGTACCCAAGACCATGCATAGGGTTGGCAGACAATGGTCCCTAGCTGCCCTTCAGTTCTGGAATTGAACACACACCTGTAGCTTTCAGCCAAACAAAAGACAGGCATATGAGTTGAACATTTACCTGAGGTAGATACACTCCTTGGAGAAAACAGTCATGGGAGAAAGAGGGGCTGTTTATGCACAGGGAGACAACTCAGGGGCAGGAGTGCACGGAGGGATGGACACAGGGAAGAGGTAACTATAAGTAGGAAGTGGGAAGGCAGATGTTGCATTGGGGTAAATTTTAATCAATGTCATGAGACAGCGTGTGTGAACTGCTGTATGGAAAGTGAATTTGCTCTGTAAACTTTCACCCAAATCACAATGTAGAAAAAAAGCTTGTGAGCAGCCATCTGTGGTGCAACTATTTGTTTCTCCTCAACTGCAGCAAAGAAGTGTAAGAAAATCAAAGATCAAGGAAACAATTAGTCCAAAGGACTAATGGACCTTGTTGAATCCCAGCTTCCATGATGCAAAGACCAGAACAACTAGACGGTACCTGACTATCACTGCTGACCACTCTGAAAGGGATTGCAATAGGAGGTCCCAGCTAGAGTGGGAGAAAAATGTGGTATGAAATTCAAAATCATTAAAAAAAACCATGCTTGTTGATCTGATAGTGAATGGTAGAACCCCTGAGATCATAGGCCTCAGACACCCTCAAATCCTGGAACAGAATTCATCTCCATGGCTCAACTTTCAGCAAATAATAGGCCTACAAGATGAACAATAACACCAAGGAGGTGTACACTTATTAGAACAATTAACCATCTGAGATCAAAAAGGCAGCATTTGCCAAGGGTAAAGCTTAGAAGGCAGGAAAAGAAAGGACAAGAAAGAAGGATGAAGGGAAACAATAAACACAGGGAAGAAGTGGTAAGAATGCTATTACATTGTTGGGCTTGTAATCAATGTCACAAAACAAAACGTGCATGGGTTGCTGAATGGAAAACCAACTTGCTCTGTAAACTTTTACCCAAAATAGAATTTAAAAAGGGATAAAAACCATGTACACAGTATGTTACTATTTTCGGCACGCTCATTCCCAGTGCTCTCAAATACACCTCTCTGCTCTACTGGTTAGATCATGCTGGGAATGGATGATGAAAACATACCAGCTATGATTACTTCCTTTTTACTTATTATATATGGATGCTTAGTTTAGGTATTCCTACATGTCATGAAGGATGACAAATATTAACCTATTCTTGATTTCCTGTACTTTATATAGGCATCATTTAATAATCAATTTTTACAATTGTTGTTGTTGTGGTGGTTATGTGCCGTCGAGTTGGACCCGACCCATAGTGACCCCTCCTTGGGTTTCAGAGGCAGTTAGTTATTTTAAAAAGCCAAACTAGTTGTGTCAAGTTGATTCCAAATCATGAAAAATCCGTGTGTGTCAGAATAGAATTATTCACCAACTCTACTTTTCAATGGCTAACTTTTCAGACGTAGATCACCAGGCCTTTCTTCTTAGGTGCCTCTTCATGAATTCAAGCCTCCAAACTTTCTGTTAGCCACCAAGCATGTTAACCATTTGTACCACCCAGGAAGCATATACTGCTACAAATATTTTATTTTGACATATTTTTAAAGCAAAATGCCAGTATTTTCTCTTTAATAAAGGAAATGTTCTTCCTTATCCTCTGCATCTTGTACTTTGTTTTGTTTTTTTTTAAAAAAAAAATGGATACAGGGTGAAAGGAATAGGAACAAAAAAAGGGCAGAGGATTAAGCAATATGAAAAACAAATTCAGAACACATGTACAGGATAAAATAACATAGTAATGTATAGCCCTTTCTACAGAACAGAAATGATTATAAAAATTCCAGATAATCTACAAATGAAAAAACAATTCTGGTTCCTTTAGTTCTAGACTTTTCTGCAGTGTTCTGTGAGATAGCATCTTTGCTAAATAACAGTATTTACTTCATTAAATACATTATACTTACTTCTTTAAAATCTATGTTGTTGTTGTTGTTGTTGTTGTTGTTGTTGTTGTTAGGTGCCATCGAGTCATTTCCGACTCACAGCGACCCCATGCACAGCAGAACGAAACACTGCCCGATCCTGCGCCAGCTCCATGATCCCTGCTATACTTGAGCCCATCACCGCAGCCACTGTGTCAATCCATCTCGTTGAAGGTCTCCCCCTCTTTCGTCGACCCTCCACCTTACCAAGCATGACGTCCTTCTCCAGGAATGGTCCCTTCTGACAACATGACCAAAATAGGTAAGACGAAGTCTGGCCATTCTTGCTTCCAAGGAGCATTTCGGGTGCATTTCCTCCAGGACAGATCTGTTAGTTTTTTTAGCAGTCCATGGTACTTTCAGCATTCTTCACCAGCACCACAACTCAAAAGCATCA